TAGAGAGGCTTTTGAGCTTCCTTTCAGTGGTGAGCTGACTACTGGGGCTCACTGACTGTTCTGGAAGTCTCCAATTCCAGGGACAAGAACTTAATACTCATCATTGACTCCAACATAGCAGTCAGTATTAGGCAGAAACTGACAGACAGTTATCTATTGGGATGAACAAATGGAGAAAGAACATACAGATGTGTAAAGTCAGGTCCACTACTTCAGGAACCACCTAGAAGCAGATATGGGCCAAATCCTGGGAGTTGACCAGGAACACCGAGGAGCTCAACCACCTGGCCATAGCTATGGGATGCCGAGCACATCCTCCCTGTGGCCAGCAGCTCAGGCACTGATACTAAACTTCAGGACACTGTGTAGGACATGGAGAGACAGGGACAGTGGCTCCAGCCTTCAGTTTCTCCACTCTCAGTGCAGAGCCTTGTCCACCACCATTGTCTCCTGCTCCATTTCTTCTTCCTATTCTTCTACCTTTTCTTCTTTTTCTTCTTCACTTTCTCCTTTCCTCCCTCAGAACCTCCCTGTCATCTTTCCTTCCCTCTCTCTATCTCCCTTCCTCTGTCCCTCTCATCACCTTGCTTTGTCCTTTCTCTCACCCTTCTTTCCTCCCACAAACACTCGTCCCCAGCTGTAGTTCAGGAGCCAGCTCTAGTGACAAAGATGGAAAAAGCCGACACCCAGACAACCAGCAGCTCAGAGGACCCAGACCACCAACAGCTCCTCCTGGGCCCACTTTTTGGTTTCTTTGGAATTTCTCAGCAAATGCTCAAGGACCACTCCACAGAACAAGAAGATGCAAATCCCATTCAAGGGGGGACAAGACCCTTGGTTACTTCTCATCTTCCAGTAGAAGGTCTGAGGGGCTACCTGTAACCAAGGTTAGAGCAATGTGTTGGATGTCTTTTAAAGATTTATTTCTTTTATGTGTAAGTATCATTGCTTGTATGAGTTCATGTGCACCGTGTGTGTACAGTCCCCTCAGGAGGTCAGAGGAGG